CATTTACCACCCCGATGGGACTGTTCGAGTTCAGAGTACTCCCGTCCGGGCTCACTAACGTGCCGGCAACATTCCAGCGGTTGATGGAGTTGGTGATGCGGGGCTTGCAATGGGAACAGTGCCTAATTTACCTGGATGACGTGATAGTGTTCAGCAGGTCCCTGTCTGTGCACTGGTCCAGGTTACGGGAGGTGTTCCAACGACTGCGAGCAGCCCATCTCAAGCTCAAGCCGCGTAAGTGTTACATTGCACAGCACGAGGTGGGGTACCTCGGACACCGCGTCAGCGAGGCAGGGGTGCGTACCGACCCGGATAAGGTACGCGCCATAGTGGAATGGCCACGGCCGAGGAACCTGACGAAGATCAGGTCATTTTTGGGGCTAGCCACATATTATCGTCGATTTGTGAAGGATTCAGCAAGATTGCAGGCCCCCTCACCCAACTCACTTCCCCTAAGAACCCCTATCAGTGGACAGAGGCCTGCCAGACGGCCCTCACCACCCTCAAGGACCACCTCACCCATACCGCCACCCTGGCTTTCCCTGACTTTTCCACCAAATTAATTTTGGACACTGACGCCTGCAGCAGTGGGCTGGGTGCGGTGTTGTCACAGGTGCAGGATGGGACGGAGCGGGTCATCGCATACGCCAGCCAGACTCTGAGTGGGGCCGAACTTAATTATTGCGTGACCCGTCAGGAACTGTATGCTGTGATTTTCGCGTGTAAGCAATTGCGGCCGTATTTGTATGGCAGGAAATGTCGCGTGCACACTGACCATTCTGCTCTGCAGTTCCTCCTCACATTCAAGGAACCGCGGGGGCAGATGGCCCAGTGGCTGACGCAGCTGCAGGAGTATAACGTGCAAATCGAGTGCAGGGCTGGGCGGACGCACGCAAATGCAAATGGATCGCCTTGTCAAGGCGATCCACGGTGTGCGCCGAGACAAGGGCGGAGGAGGCCTGCCCGTGCTTCACGGGGGGATGCTGCCGACAGGCAACGGCCCCCCTGGAGCGCCCTGAGACTAAACCCCCTCTGCTGAGAGAAAGTGCGGTGTGTGCCACAGAGGTCCCTGCAGAAGGAGCCAGGGACCCGGTGGACCGCCCGGCGGGCACGGAGCCCACACCCCGGGGCCCGACGGGCTGCTTAGCCCCACCCGGTCGGATCCAAGAGGACGTCGGCTGTGCATTCCCGAGCCTCGATGACGAGCAGCTGAGACTGGCCCAGCAACGGGACCCGGACCTGGCGGTGGTGAAGGCGGCCGTGCGGGAGGAGAAGGCCGCCCTGCAAGGACCCTGGAGTGGTTTGTTTGCCCGGTTGTGTGTAGAGAACGGGGTGGTGCGGGAACTAACCGAAGCTGGGCAGCCGGGGTGCATCTGTGTTCCCGCCCAGGTGCGGCCCCAGCTGCTACGGCTGGTGCACGACCACCCGCTCGGGGGCCATGATGGGGAATGGCGCACTCGGGAGACTCTGCATCGCCAGTATCTCTGGCCCAAGCTGGCACAAGACGTGGCCGCCTGAGTACAGGGCTGCCACACTTGTCAGCAGTGTGGGTAGAAACCAGCGCGGTATCAGGTGCCCCTGAGGCCGTTCCGCATCAGCCGGGCAAACCAGCTAGTTGGGATCGACCTACAGGGGCCATTCCCACGATCTCACCGAGTCAACCGGTATATCCTCGTGGCGGTGGAGTATTTCACGCGCTACCCCGTGGCGGTGGCCATCCCAGATAAAACGGCCCTTGTGGTCGTCCGGGCATTTGTGGAACATTATGTGCTTAAACATGGGATCCCAGAATGAGTCATTACTGACCAGGGTAGTGAGTTTGAGGCGGAGCTATTTCAGGCGCTGTGCCGGGAGTTCGGAATCCTGAAGGACCAAACTACGGCATATGACCCCCAGGCGAATGGTATGGTGGAGCGTATGAACCAGACCTTAGCCGGGAAGCTCAAACGTATGGCAGCTGCCAATCAACAGGATTGGGACAAACACCTCACCTATGCTCTATTCGCCTATGCCACCACGGTACACACATCTTTGGGACAGACCCCGTTCCTAATGATGTTTGGTCGTGAGTCTCGCCTACCAGCAGATCTGTTGTTCGGCGTTCCCCCGCAACTGGAGGAAGGAAGCCAGCCCGTAGAGCACCTGATGGGAACCCTACGAGGTGGCCACACATCAGCGGCAAGAGCAGGGCATGTGGAGCCCCCCTTCTACTCAGCGGGCTCTAAGGTATGGCTGCACACTCCGTGCGTAGAAGCTGGACAGGTGGGGAAGCTGACCACCTACTAGCGCGGACCCTGGACAGTGGTTCGGCAGATCTCCCCCTGGACGGTGCTGATCCAGGGTGGGGAGAGGGCCGAGAGACGGTGGTCAACGTCCGCCGATTAAAACCATGGAAGGCAGCCCTGGCAAGAGAAACCCCCGCCGTTCGAGTACCCCGAAACCCCGGGATCCCCGTGCCCCCCAATACCCGAGGGCTTTGAACCGTATATGGGCCCCGCAGGACCCCAGCCCCCAGGGGGCCCCGGCCTGGCCAGGAGGTGGCGGGGCGGCACCCCCTAATCCCCTCTGCCCCTGAGTTTGTTCCCCAGCCCACGGATGCCGGAGGAGCCTTTGGAGTGGAGAAGGAGACCGCTGCAGGAGCCCAGCAACGAGGGCCGGGCGAGTCCCGAGGATGCCGCGGCGCTACCTGGTGGGAGCGGCCCAGGCGAGGTGCTCCAGTCAACCCGGGATGGGGACGGGCACCATGGGGGACTATGTGGTGCCACAACAGCGAAGCCACTCCGCCGGCGCTGCTATCCCCTCATGGGGGGGGGGGGGGTCACCTGGTACCATGAGTTCTTACCCGAGGGGCCCCAAGCGGGGATGTCCCACGGTTTCACAGTGCCAGGAGATTGGCCAACCCCACCCCCCCCCCCCCCCACCCCCAGGCCGAATTGCATTGCGGCCCCTGTGAACTAGCTTAAAATTGTATGGGCACGACGAAGCTCACCGAGCAAACCGCGATGAGAACACTCACAGCAGAGAGAGAAAATGTCTCGGGAGCAAACACCCAGCGAGCAAGCGCATAAGAGGAGGTGGGAGGGAAATGCCTGGACCGACTGAAGCTGTGTATCCGCGGGACGGCCGCCCCAATCATTGCAGTTGAGTCCGGGGTGGGGAGGATAGGGCGGGTAGACAATGGATCAAGGCGTAATGGGAAGCAACGCTCCAGGTAGGGGCGGGGCATCGGTTTAAATTCAAAAGGTAGGCGCCCGATTGGCCACGCAGGATAACACCATGTGACCCTGGATTTTTGGATTCCGAGGGCATGAGAGGAGGGAGGGGAAAACGGGGGGCAGTTCTCTTCCAGCTGTTGAGCTGCCCGCTCGGACTCCCAGCCGCTGGGAGCGTCCGAGGGATGCTGGGGAGTGCTGCTACGACTCGACCCCAGACAGAGACCTCTCATACCCTCGTCTCTCAGACTCCCATCGCGTCCATGCTACGCCGTGAGTACATCCACGAGGTGAGAAGTAGAGTAAGGGTACACTCAGGGATTGAATTGGGATAGGCTAGGCGCTGCTCGCTGAGAATTTTGCTTCAGGCCATGTAGGGGTTTTTTTTTTATTCAGGTGCGCCATTAAAAAAAATTAGCACAGAGGATCCATTTTGGTGTGATTTCTGTGGGTGTGAGAAAAGTGTCGGCGTAGTGTGTAATTCGAGCGTGTGTGTGTGTGTGAGGCAGCGCGAGTAGTAATTCATTACCGGCTCCCGCGTGCATGCAGCCGCGTGATTAATAGGGCGAGGGAGGGGTGAGTTAAAACCCATTCGCGTGCGTGATTACACAGCGCGTTTTATGACGTGTGTTCACGTAGCAACGATGGCATTTAGCACACGTATATTGCCATCAATACGGCCGTCGTTGTGCCCGCATGCTCGCGCTCGCATGCGTGTTGCAGAGCGGATTAAGGCCGACCCACAGGAGGGACGGAGGGGCGCGTGCATATTCATACGGCTATTTTTAGCGCGAGCCAAGGTGAGCGAAGGTGCGCCTATGCCAGGCATGCGTGAGCACGCAGCCACTTCCGAATTAGTGGTGGTGTACGTGGGGAGGGTTTGGGATAACTCCAAGCGGTGGTGAGCCAGCCACTTAGCCATGTCCCTCAGAGAGGACGCTGGTGCGGGGGGGGGGGGGGGCTATCACACGATCCGCGGCAGCCCAGCGAGAAGTGGCCAAGGAGGAGGGGGGAGAGGAGGAGGGGGGCGTCTGCCCCCACAAAATCACTTCTCCGTCATCCTCTTCGCCCAAAGGACACAATAATAGGAGTCTTCTTCTTGGTCGACTTAGACATGTTAAAAACAATTCTATATAAAATAAAAATGTCTTTAACACTTCCGACTCCAAATGCAGTGACAGACTCAGAAACACTAGGAGTAGGAGGTACTATATTTATTATCAGCCTTCACAGTTCACACAGTCAGGACAGCTGGCAGACTGCCTGACTGATGATGCCGAGAAGGAGAAGACATAGATGGCGACGAAGACTCCAGCCGCACAACAACCCTGAGCCTTCACTCGGGGTCCCGTTTTATCCTCCCAGCGTGGCCTCGGTCCGCCCCAGCCACGCCCACTTCTAGAACCTAATAGTGGGTTCCTGGGCACACCTATCTCTGGCTAAACACGTGACCTGCTGACAGACAGGGCTGCTGCAACTGCAGATACCCCTTCTCTGGCAGCAATCAGCACTATGCTACAGAGTGACCCATGTCACTACACATATATACTACACTATACACGATTATAACACGCTAAACTACTATATACTACTACATTACTATATACTACAACACACTACACTACTATACACTACTCCACTACTATTTACTATACCACTCCACTACTATACACCACTACACAACTATATACTACACTGTACACTACTATACACTACTGTATACACTACACTACTATATATTACACTACTAAAAAGTACACTACTACACACTACCCTACTCTATACACTACAGTACCATTATCATACACTATCACACAACATCACCATCACACAGCATCACGATCAAGCAGCGTTATCGCAGCGTCACCACACAAGCGATCACGTGGAGGCGTGGTGATGTCATCATTTACCTGCGCCGAAATTCCACCAGTTGGTCGACTCCTTCTCTGTGTGGGGGAGTTGCACAGAGCGGTTAGTTCTATACACTCGCATATATACACAGTATACACTATATACTGCTACACACTACTACACTACTATATACTACTAGACACTACACTACTATATTCTACTACGAGACTACTACACACTACAACACACTACACACTAGACAACTGTATTCTATTCTTAGCTCTTTCGGTAAAGTCACGTTGTTTCCCTTCAACGTGACTTTACCGAAAGAGCTAAGAATATGAATTACTGCAGTCACGAAAGTTTTAAATCAAAATTTAACTGGATTCTACTACACACTACACTACACGACAATATACTACACTACTATACACTACACTATACACTACCACACACTATACTGCTATACACGACACATCACTACACACTATACGACTATATACTACACTACTATACACTGCTACACAATATACTTCTACAAACTAAACTAACATATCCTCCACTACTAGAATGTATACTACACTACTATCCACTACTAGATACTACACTATACAATAGACTACTACACTATATACTACACTACTATACACTACAACACACTCCACTACTATACACTGCACTACACACTACATTAGTCACACTACACTACCATACACTACACTGCTATATACTACACTATACAGTACTACACACTACACTACACACTACTGCATCACCATCACACACCATCACCATTAGACAGCATAACCATCAAGCAGCGTCATAGCAGCGTCACCACAGAAGCAATCACGTGGAAGGGATAGGAGGAAGGTTTTGAATGAGGATCGACCTGGGGAAAAAAGAGAGGATCAGTTAGAGGGTAAGGAGAGGGATTGACTCAGAGAAAACCAAGGACAAGAAGGTTCCAGAAAGGGGGCTCGAGGAGTATAAAAGGGGACAGCACGAGGAGTGGGGACGTTCGGATGAAGTGACAAACTGAAGACGAAAGCACGGAGCCTCGGGTCACTCTTTGTGGCTGTGTCCCAATAAAGTGTCTCTCATCACATCGCCCTGAGAGTCGTTACACATACACTACACTATACACTATTATGACAAACTACACTGATTTTATACTACTACATTACTATATACTACAACACACTACACTACTATATACTACTCCACTACTATCTACTACACCACTCCACTACTATACACCACTACACAACTATATACTACACTGTACACTACTATACACTACTGTATACACTACACTACTATATATTACACTACTAAAAAGTACACTACTACACACCACACTACTCTATACACTACAGTACCATTATCATACACTATCACACAACATCACCATCACACAGCATCACGATCAAGCAGAGTCATCACAGCGTCACCACACAAGCGATCACGTGGAGGCGTGGTGATGTCATCATTTACCTGCACCGAAATTCCACCAGTTAGTCGACTCCTTCTCTGTGTGGGGGAGTTGCACAGAGCGGTTAGTTCTATACACTCGCATATATACACAGTATACACTATATACTACTACACACTACTACACTACTATATACTACTAGACACTACACTACTATATTCTACTACGAGACTACTATACACTACAACACACTACACACTAGACAACTGTATTCAATTCTTAGCTCTTTCGGTAAAGTCACGTTGTTTCCCTTCAACGTGACTTTACCGAAAGAGCTAAGAATATGAATTACTGCAGTCACGAAAGCTTTAAATCAAAATTTAACTGTATTCTACTACACACTACACTACACGACAATATACTACACTACTATACACTACACTATACACTACTACACACTACACTGCTATACACGACACATCACTACACACTATACGACTATATACTACACTACTATACACTGCTACACAATATACTTCTACAAACTAAACTAACATATCCTCCACTACTAGAATGTATACTACACTACTATCCACTACTAGATACTACACTATACAATAGACTACTACACTATATACTACACTACTATACACTACAACACTACAACACACTCGACTACTATACACTGCACCACACACTACATTATTCACACTACACTACCATACACTACACTATATACTACACTATACAGTACTACACACTACACTACACACTACTGCATCACCATCACACACCATCACCATTAGACAGCATAACCATCAAGCAGCGTCATAGCAGCGTCACCACAGAAGCAATCACGTGGAAGGGATAGGAGGAAGGTTTTGAATGAGGATCGACCTGGGGAAAAAAGAGAGGATCAGTTAGAGGGTAAGGAGAGGGATTGACTCAGAGAAAACCAAGGACAAGAAGGTTCCAGGAAGGGGGCTCGAGGAGTATAAAAGGGGACAGCACGAGGAGTGGGGACGTTCGGAGGAAGTTACAAACTGAAGACGAAAGCACGGAGCCTCGGGTCACTCTTTGTGGCTGTGTCCCAATAAAGTGTCTCTCATTACATCGTCCTGAGAGTCGTTACACATACACTACACTATACACTATTATGACAAACTACACTGATTTTATACTACTACATTACTATATACTACAACACACTACACTACTATATACTTCTCCACTACTATCTACTACACCACTCCACTACTATACACCACTACACAACTATATACTACACTGTACACTACTATACATTACTGTATACACTACACTACTATATATTACACTACTAAAAAGTACACTACTACACACCACACTACTCTGTACACTATAGTACCATTATCATACACTATCACACAACATCACCATCACACAGCATCACGATCAAGCAGAGTCATCACAGCGTCACCACACAAGCGATCACGTGGAGGCGTGGTGATGTCATCATTTACCTCGCCGAAATTCCACCAGTTAGTCGACTCCTTCTCTGTGTGGGGGAGTTGCACAGAGCAGTTAGTTCTATACACTCGCATATATACACAGTATACACTATATACTACTACACACTACTACACTACTATATACTACTAGACACTACACTACTATATTCTACTACGAGACTATTACACACTACAACACACTACACACTAGACAACTGTATTCTACCACACACTACACTTCACGACAATATACTACACTACTATACACTACACTATACACTACCACACACTACACTGCTATACACGACACGTCACTACACACTATACGACTATATACTACACTACTATACACTGCTACACAATATACTTCTACAAACACCAGGCTACTGCACAGAGCTTAGCCAGGAGCCAAGCCTGGGTCCAATGGCAAGGCAGGAAACGAAGACGATTGGAAGGTTTGTCTTAAAGAACGAGACACCCAGTGGCTCCTCCACCATGTGCCATTGGCCATCTGGACCGCAGCTCATCTGCCCCACCAGGGTGGGCGGTTGGCCAATTGGTATACACCCTGGGATTTTGTCCAGGGTTTACTCCCCTTAGCCTAAGTGGCTTACCGAAGCCCCGTTGGTCAGCACGCTTCCAGTTGGGTCCAGAGAGGCCTTCATGGTTACCGAAGCGGCCCGGGCGATCGAACCGCTCAGCCAAACTTCACCTCGTCTGTTACCACCTCCCACGATGTGGACGAGGGGTTGATTTTTTGAGAGGCACACTACTATACACTACACTATACACTACATTACTATACACTACACTACTATACACTACACTACTATACACTACACTACTATATACTACACTATACACTACACTACTATACACTACACTCCTATACACTACTATACACTATACACTACACTACTATACACTACTATATACACGACACTACTACACACTACTATACACTACACTTACACTACACTACTATACACTCCTATACTATACTGTATTAAACCTGAATTTTTGTTGGCAACACCTGCCACCAATCACGGCATAGCCCCATCGACTGCCACCTTCACCCCATGCCACGTGGCCTGTCCTGACTGGCTAATTTACATCCCACCCCAAGTGAAGCCCAGAGTGAGTGGCGCCACTGTTGCTTGCCAGAAGGTGGTGGGGAGTTGTTGATGGATTCTCCCCCCTAACCCCCTTACCTCATGTAACCTCAACCACACCATCACACTATACACTACAATACACTACCACACACTACTACACAATACTGCAGACTGATATACACAAATGTACATTACCACACACTAATACACACTACTATACACTACAATACACTACACTAATACACACTACTATACGGTACACTATACTAGACACCACATTGATGTAGGGGATCTGCAAACACGACGTCTCCGCATTCACGACGACACGCACCAATTGCACGCGCTGCAATGCGCGTGACAGGAGTCAGGGGTCAAAGGGCAGTGACGTCACCCGGACCAAGGGGTGCCAGACGGGAATGTGTATTGGAGTTGGGTTAAAGGGACGCTGTGGGATGGGTGTTGGGGGTTGGTTGTGTAACGAGTGTTGCTGTGCATTGGTGAATTAAAGAAGTTCTTCAAACCATTCTCGACTCCTCTTCATTAGTATACAGTACACTACAATATGCTACACTACACCACAATACTACAATGAGAACGCATGTCTTTAGAACTGCTTGTTGTTGTTGTGTTTAATTTGTTTGCATTCCCCCGCAACTCCGATTAATTTGGATGGCTATGTACAGTGGTGTGAAAGATGTTCACTCCAGCGCTGTCCTACCAGACAGTCTCGTCCCTTCACCTGATGAAGGTCGCTTGTGTTGTGGCCGAAACGTCGTGAGAATATTATTGTGTTATTTTATTTTATCAATTTATTATTTTATTCTCATTCTACGTGACTTTACCGAAAGAACCAAAGAAGATGTTCAACGTACACTACACTTTACACTGCTATACACTACAATGGTATATGCTACACTACACTACTATACATGCACAAGTTTGAACACCTTTACAACTCCTGGATGTAACAAAACGTAGCCAATTGGCAAACACTTTAGCACTAACCGGTCGTGTGCGTGTTAGAGAGTTAAACCAACATGATGACAACAACATTTGCAATTCGAGTAAGACGGGTTCGTAGCGCAGAGCGCTAGCAACTGTGCCACCGCTCATGACACACACACACACGTGTACACACACGTGTACATACACACGTGTACTTACACATGTACACACATACACGTGTACATACAAATGTACACACATACACGTGTACACACACACACGTGTACATACACATGTACACACATGCACGTGTACACACATACACGTGTGTACATACACGTGTACATACACATGTACACAGATACACGTGTACATACAAATGTACACACATACACGTGTACACACACACACGTGTACATACACATGTACACACATGCACGTGTACACACATACACACGTGTACATACACGTGTACACACACGTGTACACATACACACATGTGTAAACACACACGTGTACACACACGTGTACACACACGTGTACATACATGTGTACACACATGTGTGTACACAAACACACACACGTGCTGTACTCACTTTTAGCCACAACAGGCACTAGTGAAATGCCTAAGATGGCGGCCATGACGAGAGTGGCCATCCATTGTGACGTCATAGTTCATGCAGTAGTTATGGGGAGCCAATGAAAATGACAGCAGCTGCAACCTGCATAGTACCACACAAAGACAAAAATTCCCACGTGCAGCCTCTTAACAGACTTTGGGGGCAAATAGTCACCAACTCATTAACCACTCGCACACACAAACACACATTCACCACTCACCTACACCCACTTACTGACACACTCACAAAGACAAAGGCCCCCCGTATAGGAGCACATGCTGTTCACGAGCACCTGTGAAAGGCCGGAACAACACACGAGGGGGTGGGTGGTCAGCACCACACCACTCACGAGGGGGTGGGTGGCGATGTTTACACACCACACCAGGTACTCATTTGAGGCTGAGTCGACCTAGGACTGGTTCATAAAATCGCCACTGGTGTTGGCCATGAGCGGGAATCGAACTCGGGCCGCTGGATTCATAGAGACTCATACACACACTTAGAGATGGAGAGACCCATACACACACTTAGAGATGGAGAGACCCATACACACACTTAGAGATGGAGAGATCCATACACACACTTAGAGATGGAGAGACTCATACACACACTTAGAGATGGAGAGATCCATACACACACTTAAGAGATGTAGAGACCCATACACACACTTAGAGATGGAGAGACCCATACACACACTTAGAGATGGAGAGACTCATACACACACTTAGAGATGGAGAGACCCATACACACACTTAGAGATGGAGAGACCCATACACACACTTAGAGATGGAGAGATCCATACACACACTTAGAGATGGAGATACCCATACATACAGTTAGAGATGGAGAGACCCATACATACACTTAGAGATGGAGAGACCCATACATACAGTTAGAGATGGAGAGACCCATACACACACTTAGAGATGGAGAGACCCATACACACACTTAGAGATTTAGAGACCCATACACACACTTAGAGATGGAGAGACTCATACACACACTTAGAGATGTAGAGACCCATACACACACTTAGAGATGGAGAGACTCATACACACACTTAGAGATGTAGAGACCCATACACACACTTAGAGATGGCGAGACCCATACATATGTAGCGTCATTGACAAGCATTCTATATAACGCAGTGGTTCTTAACCTTGTTGGAGGTACCGAACCCCACCAGTTTCATATGCGCATTCACCGAACCCCTCTTTAGTGAAAAATAAAATGTGATTTTTTTCAAATTCAAGACATAGATATGTTTTTTACTGGTACACAAAATGAGCCGTGCATGAACATTACCTTGTTCAAAGAATAAAACCAACACAATGCATAAACTCACAACAAATTACATACCTGGAAATCAATGTGACTTCTGCTGTTGCCTTTGAGAGATCAGTTCAGATATGCGTGGCTTCACCTTGGCAAGTGCCACTCTCATGTCATTTTCACAGCAAAGTCTGTTCCTTTTCTTCGTTTTTATGTCCAGCATCCTCGAAAAGGATTGCTCACAAAGATATGTTGTAACAAATGGTATAAAAAAAATCCAGGGCTTTCTTAGCAATAACTGGATACTTGTTCATTTGTCGACACCAAAACGTTGAGAGCGTTGTTGTTCTGAAGAGTTGCTGTTGAACCTGGCTCTGCTGAATTTCAATGATTTCGTCGAGGAATTCATCATTGACATCTGCTGTTTCAACAGCAAACGTGAACGGCTGTCTCACCCATGCTGGATATGACTCTCTTGTAGGGAAATATCCGTCGAGAGACTTTGCAAGCTCATCTAAGTGCGTGGCAATTGTTTGCTTCAGTTCCGTGGATACAGAAATATCTCCGATTCCAGACACATCTTCGATCTTACTTGCACTGTCGTCCAGAAGCGGGAAGTTTGCGAAGTTATTGTTCTCTGTTCGTCGTTTCCATAACGGTAGCTTTTTTTGAAAAGCCTTCAGGTGTTCTTCCGCTTCCATGATATTGACTCCACCACCCTGCATCTGCTGATTGAGATGATTGAGAGCTGCGAATATATCAGCCATGTACGCTAAAATGAGAATGAACTCAGGATTTTTGAAGCAATCTGCATGGCAGTGTTGGTGCTCTTGCAAAAACAGGGCTAATTCCACACGCATGGCAAAAACACGATTCAGCACCTGTCCCCGGGATAACCACCGAATATTAGAATGGAGCAGAAGTACCTCAAATTCAGAGCCCATTTCTTTACACAGCTCACTGAATATGCGGTGCCTCAGAGCACTTTTTCGCACATAGTTCACACATTCCACCACAGTTTTTAATACTTCTGTCATTTTTGGAGGTAAGGTTTTTGTTGCCAACGCATGCCTGTGCAGAATACAATGCGTCACAATGATGTGTGGTGCATCGGCCTTTACTAGCGCACCAAAACCAGACTTTCTTCCCAGCATGACTGGAGCTCCGTCCATACAAACTGCAGAAACCATATCCCATGAAAGATTGTTGTCTCTGAAGAAGTCATCCACAAGCTTCTTCACATCGGCTGCCTTCGTTGTTGTTGTAAGAGGCTTACAAAATAAAAACTCTTCTTTTATCATGTCATCTTTCACATAGCGTACAAAAACAGCAAGCTGGCTTAGATCAGAAACGTCTGTGGTTTCGTCGAGTTGAAGGCTGAATTTTGCCGGGCTTGAAATCAGATCCGCGACTACTTGAGCCAAGATGTCTTTACTCATGTCTTCTATTCTGTCACTGACGGTGTCATTTGAAAGGGGAATTTGGGATAATTTACCTTCGGCCGCTGTTCCGAGTATCAGATTCGCCATCTTTAATGCAGCTGGTTTCACAAGTGTTTCACCAATGGTGTGTGGCTTGCCCTGCTTTGCGATCAGGTAAGCAACTTCGTACGATGCTGTCAGGATCGGTTTGTTAACAGGTACAAATCCAAGAGCAGGCAGAGTGGCCCTTTCATCGAATCTGGCTCTCTTCACCCTGAATTCAGCAAGTGTTGTGTTCTTGTATTCCCCGTCTCCATGCAGCTTCAAGAAGTGTTCCTTTAGTTTTGCCGGTGCAAGACTAGAGTTGCTCAACTTGGCGTTGCAAATCATGCAGATAGGACGCTCACTCCCATCACGTTCCGTGATACATGAGAATCCATGTTGTACATATTCGTCCGACCACTTTCTTCTTTTGCCCGACATAGTTAGTATGGATAAAATATTAAAGAAATCACACGACGTACGACAACAACAGTCACACATTGACTACTGAGTACGCACTAAATTCCCCGCAGCACTGATTGGCCAAGCAGTGTAGCATGATCATCTGCAGCCAGTGATGGCCAAGCGGGCCGTGTGTGTCATCACAAATTTACACAATAATTCAAGTGTGTCCGGACCTCCGTGGCGGGGGCTCTGCCGAACCCCTGAGATCGACTCACCGAACCCCTGGGGTTCGATCGAACCCAGGTTAAGAACCACTGATATAACGTCATTGTTAGGCATCGTGTATACTCACCTGCAGTAGCAGACATGTGTCCACAGGGGGTGGTAACTCAGGATGGGTAGGATGAGTCGGGCCATTGCGACACTAGGTTCCCCCAGCACAAAGAGAGGGGTTGGGGAGGGGGGGATATTCCAGAGCCCCCTAGAGAGTTACAGAAGGGGGGCGTGGACAGGGGCGGAGAGACCCGGCCACGGGTATAAAAGCAGCACCTCTGGACGAGCCCGGAAGTCTTCTTCAAGCTGAAGAAAGAAGACCAGCTAGGCCAGGACCCCGGGAACTTTTGTATATGCCTGGTCTTCAAAAAATTATACAAATAATAAAAATTTATTGAAAATTTAAAAAACTTAATTAATGTATTAAATTATGCACAAAATATATGCTAATTAGGGAGGTGTAATTATGTTAAGTTGTGTAAATTTAAGTGATTATGCTGATGCATGCAGTTATGATACTTATGCTCTGCCTCGTTGTCTAGGGTCATATTATCAATCGGGATAATACAATGAATGGTATGAAGTTATGCAAGTGTGATGTAAGTATGCTGATTAAGCTCGGCTTCGTTTTCTAGGGTCGTATTATCAATCAGGATAATACAATTATTCTCGCTTTAACATTTACTGATTATGTCTTAGTGTTTTTATGTCAGGTCTCCAAATTCAAATCTCACCGCAGGATACAGTTCTTATAATTAAGATTATTATGCATGAACTTAGGAAGGCACCACTCAGACACTTCTGTGTTAAGCAACTTTAATTTCTAAACAAAAACAGCGCTGTCCTACCAGACAGTCTCGTCCCTTCACCTGATGAAGGCCGCTTGTGTTGTGGCCGAAACGTTGTGAGAATATTATTGTGTTATTTTATTTTATCAATTTATTATTTTATTCTCATTCTACGTGACTTTACCGAAAGAACCAAAGAAGAAAAACATAACACCCTAATATGCGAACTCTTATGCTTGGAATTGTAAACACAGTACTCCTGGAGATGTTCTCCTCATTGATCCGTACATTTAACCCTCAATGATCATGTTGTTAAACTGGGTGACAGAACAATCGATTAAATCCTCAGAGTAACGCGAGCATATACGGCGATAGGAAAAAGTCCTTAAAAATACATGCGACGATATTCATACAAATGGCAATAAAGAAACATGTCCCAAAGGCAAAAGTATACGTCAATGAATTCATCGGTAAGATTATGTAATTAACGAAATGTCTTGGAACAATGGTGTATGGCAGTGTGCCTGCTTCAGCAAATGCGTATCAATTGGCTCGGGCTTCAATAATTTGCGGGCAATATTCTGTGTTCAAAAGAAAGATTTCAACACAATATTCTCCCTGTGAGTGTGTAGATTCGTAACGTAGGTTTCTAAACGTTTAGTTTTCATCAATGAATTCATTTGTAATATTTATGCAATTAAATAGAAAAATAACGACTAAAATAATTCTAAACGACCGTATCCACGTAACTCAATGGGCAGCAGTGTGCTTCGTTATCAGCTAGTAGTTAACGCACTTCATCATTAGTCTTCTTATTATTAGTCCGGGTATGTGTTTATGTGTGTGGTGGTGGTGGTTTTGTCTCCTTGATCAATTCTTTCCATCAAGCAGACGCCGGGCG